TTTTGGGTTTCTTCAACCTAAAAGCTTGGGTTTCATCTAGTTACACCCATTTTCTATCCCAAGTTCTATATATCAAAACATGGAAGGTGACGAGAGTGTCGTTTTAATTTGAGCGAATCTTGTTTTGATCGCTTGTGAATTTTCGACTTTTCTCCTCTTCGCTTCAAGAGAAAGGGATTCTAGAGTTTCTTTTCAATACATTGTTATAGATAGACTTTTGGTATTTTCTACGCCATTTAAAAAAACAAAGCATTATGATTGATTTAGTTAAAAAGCATATGGGTTGGTTTGGGTTTAAATTGGTGGGTTGGTTTGGGTTTAAATTGGTGGGTTTGTGGGTTATGTTATAATTGATTATGGGTTGTAAAAGCATGTTTTGGGTATGGGGTTGATAGAAGTTCGCATCTCCTTCAAAATTTCGGGCTGTTAAAGGAAAAAGCTTCTGGTGAATTAAAATTGGGTTATGTTGTGATTGTTTACAAATTTTGGGATTTTGGATTAATGTTATTGGGTGTTGGTAAGTGTTGGGTATGTTGTGATTTGGAATAATAAGGACTAACTTTTTTTGATAAAAAAAGTATGATTAATTACCTCGTTTATAAAAACATGAGAGTTTGGAATGTACGGAAATATGGAGATATCTACGGGTGTATTTATTGTTTTGATTACGTAATTGGCATCTAGAGTTTTTTCATTGGCCATCAGTGGAGGATGGTATTGATTGTTGGTAGATACATGCTGTGAGTACTATTGTAAGAGGGACTATATAAGGTAGAAGGATGTCTTGTTAATTGTAATTGGACATTGTGATAGATAATTCCATTGTTGAGTTGTAGGTTATGTTGTTAGAAAAGTAACTGGAATACTTGTGGATGTGTTTATGTTATGAGACAATCATTGGATAGTTATGGTTTTGGTGTTTGGTAATCCACATTTTATTTTGGGAACAATTCGAAAATGTAGGAAAACCCATTGTTGAATGGTGGTGCATGGAGCACGTTTTGGAAGAAGTGGGTTAATGTATTTAACTGTTACTAGTCGAGATTGTGATAATTGGACTAGGTGTATGTATTACACCGTGTATTATTTTTGGTGGTTAGTGTATTATGCTTTTAATTGTATGTTGTTTGGGAGGTCCATTTCTCTCTGTCTAAGGCTGGTAAAGCATGGCCCATTGACAAAGGTTTCCTCTCCCTATGGGTTTGTGCTCGGTGAAGTGTGAAATAAGGTTTGTTTCTCTCTGGGTGAGGCCGGTAAAGCGTGGCGCATTGACAAAGATTTCCTCTCCCTTCCTGTTTGCGCCTAGAAAAGTGTGACCTAAAGGGCACCCTCATCTAGTTGAGGCTGATAAAGTGTTATAGATTATTTGTGTTGTTGGATCTGCCATCCGTGCTGTAGGCCGGTGGAGATGAAATTGGTAGTATGTATTACTTCAATTATTTCTTTTTGAATGTATATGTGTTATCGATTTTCATGTTGTGGTTATCTTTTAGTCCTTGGGCCTATGGTCAAGAAAGATAGTAGATGTATTGGTGCGTAGATGCGTATGGTGTGTTGAGAAGTAGGGTTGGGTTATGACTTGCATGCGGGGTTATGTTTTTGGAACGAATGTTTGAGTGAGATTCTTTTATGTCAACAAGGAAGGTTTATTAAAATAACACAATGGGGTTTTGAATGTTTTTGGAAGTAAGATGAAAATTTGGAAGAAAATGATTGATTTTATATTGTGTCGTGTCAAGAGGATATTTTTAAGAAAAACATATTTATGGAAATATACTTGTGGATATTAATTGTCATACTACTTATATGATATATCATTGTGCATGCATGATCATTTTTATCTATATGTTGTGATTGGTTAGGATCTTTGGGATCTCTATTAGTCCTAGTGCTCATCCCACGTGTTGACAAACTTTTCAGGTACAAGGCTGGAGGATTATTCATGACTTGAAGTCTTTTATTTATTGGCCACAGGGCCCTTTACTTATTGGCTGAGTGCCATGTATTGTATAAGGGTAAATCCCTTTTGTCTCCATTTATTGTCATTCAATGTAAGTCTCAGGCCATTAAACCATGTTTTAATTATGTATCATCATTATTGTCGTAAGAGAACGTTAATATTTATTCTTGTTCATATTCTTGAATGGATGTGATGATTTAAAAGGATAATAGTATAAACGATTTGGTAATGAACTCGGGTGATAAAAATCGGGGCGTGACACATGTGTTCACATATTTGCAGAGTCGGAATGCGCCTAAGCATATATTTTCAAATGTATACAAATTTAAGTCTTTTCTAAACACCTTAACACTCAATTGGATAAGTATGTGAGTAATTAACTCGTGCTCGGATACCAATTGTCACAACCTAAACCCGCCTCTATAGGTTTAGACCGTAACCGGCCAGTAATCCCAGATCACCCAGCTTAAAAAACAAAATTAACAGAAATATTTAATTAATAACAGGACCAGAAGTGAAAGAAGACTAATAAATTTAAGCATTTGTCCAATGAGCTGTGCATACACGACATAGTATATAGTTAATAACTCACATCCATTCACATGTAGGAGATAATACTCAGGCAAGACCATTCACAAGTTTGTCATTAAACAAACTCAAAAGTTTAAATACAAAACACAGTCAACACAACCAACAAAACAAAAGGACAAAAGCCTCTTGCGTGAGGCATCCTTGGCTGACTCCTCAAAACTTGGTATCATTTCACAAGTTCACTAGGGCTAGGATTGGTCATCTCACTGCTCACTTACATACATTGATATAATGGAGTGAACTAACGTCCAGTGAATATCATCAAAGTAAAGAGGTTATATGAATAAGTTCTAAATATAACAGTAAATCATAAGATAACCTCGATACATAATAGAACGACCTCGGGTCCATTATGTACAAAAGTAAAGTCATAAAGGAACCTCATTACATAGCAGAACGACCTCGGGTCCAACAAATACAACAGCCTCAAACCCAGCACATAAATGGCCTCAGACCCAGTAGAACGACCTGAGGTCCACAGCAGAATAACCTCAGGTCCACAACAAAACGACCTCGGGTCCAATACAGCTGTATAAAACAGTCTCTGGCCTAATATATAAATGGCCTCAAGCCCAACACATAGCAAAATGACCTCACATCCAACAAATACATATATTATAGATAACGCACTGAGCAGACAGATAGAAGGGTCATTTATACTTTCAAAATCATAAGTGTGGAAAGCTTACCACATTGGTACAGTCAGAAAATAGAATATGAGAAAATATTTTTTCTACGATATTACTCACCTCGAGTAGATTGATGTTCTCCTTCAATGTTCAACCCTACACATTTCACATATACACATATTAGAATCGAATAATTCATCTTCTCTATCTAATTCAATCATTCATGTTGGTTCTCACTTATTAGTTCCTTATTGAGTCATAAATCATGCTTAGAAATGCTCCGAAGAAGATGGGAATGAAGATATAAACACTGAAGAGCATATGCACATATGTTGAAAATGGCCTGACCGCTCGAGCCACCAAATGGTCACTCGAGCAGACAATTTTGTCTGCAAAAATACTAGATGGGTCTGATTTGCGCTCGAGCCAACACTTGGTCGCTTGAGCGATTCAACGATATACAACGGGTTCGCTCAAGCGCACACTTGGTTGCTCGAGCTGCCTGTAAAGACTACAAAAATATTGGGAGCTCGTCAAGTTCACTCGAGCACACACTTGGTCACTCAAGCGATCTATAGAATTTTTGGGTTTTTCAGAATAGAATTTGAGCTCCAAAAATGCAATTTCAAAGCCATGGGTCATGTATGGCTTATTCAAAAACACAAAGTTACTTTGGAAAACATGTATGTATGACCCCTTAAAACCATGTGCTTAAAATCACTTTAAATCCACCAAAATTGAACCCAAAACCTATGAATGTAAGTTTTTCCAAGTTTTTCTTTCTCAAAAGTCATGAGTTTAATAAACTTGAGCTCAAAATCTCTATGCATGTACAAAATCCTTTCCAAAACACGAATTTGAGAGTTAACACATGATGAATGAAACATGGATGCACAATATAGCTCATAATTTCAACATGGATGCTAGAATTCAAACTTAATATAACAAAACTCAACATCTTCTTGCATGCATGTAAAGCTTCTTCATCTTCTTGACTTTAATTAACAAAATGCATACAAATGGCCATATAAATTCCATGAACTCAACTCTAAAACATAATATCTTCATGAATTGAGGGTTGAATGCTCACCTAGAGGCTTCAAACACAACAATTGTAGCACAATGTTGATCAATTCAAGCTATATCTTCAATTTCTCCTTCAATCTTACACACACACACACGCACACACACACACTCTCTCTCTCTCTCTCTAAAAGTGTAATCTCAGATTTGTGCACTCAAGAATGAAACCTGTTGAGCTCAAGAATGAGCTTAAGGCTCATATTTACAGTTGGAGTGATTTAATACAATAATTAGAACATTAGAATTACTAAACACAACTTAATTAATTAATCTGAATCAATTTTTAATCAAACCTGTCATAAGGTTCTAAAAATTCCAATTAGTCTATTCATGTACTCAATTTTGGTTTCTAACGCCATTAAGACCTTCAATTTCAGATTCAGAACAAAAATGACAACAGATAATTTTCAAATCAGACAGATATCCTCACAATTAATAATTAACACATAATCCAATAAATATAATCATGATATGATATGCATATTGGGGTTGATTCTCTCTCTCTCCCTCCCCGCCTATATCTATCTATCTATACTATTATAAAGTTGTTTCTTATGCTGCCACGTGTTTACATTTGAAATAAAAAAAAAAAATTAGATAGATAAGAGGAGGGGATTTGAACCTTAGACTTATATCAAATGAATAAAACTCTTACCACTTAAGTACCACATAATATATGATAAATATTTTATTTTATTTATATTTATTAGAATTGCACACGCATCGCGTGTGACAACCACTAGTATATATAAATCTCTACATCTATGATTTGCAATATTGATCAGATCATCTCTCTCAATTCTCTTATCATTTTCTACATCACAATCTTCAATCAATGGAAGATTTCATCATCGATTCATTGAAGAAGAATCTTGATTCCACTAAGCCACCCCTCATTGTCACTCGAGAAAACCAGGTTACAAATCAGATTCACTTCTCTTATGAGTTCTCTCTGACCTGGTATCGAAAACCCTAGGTCAGTACTCTCTAAGCTATTAAAATTATTGATTTTATCATATTTATAATTATATATGAAGTTTATTTCTAATATCTTTTTGTGTTTTGTGATTGCTGTTTGAGTTTCTATATGTAAGTTTTTCTAATATTACATGTTGTATGTGGCGGTTATACATGTTATGAACTCAAGTTGGCTCCATTTTTTGCTGCAAAACTAAGAGCTCTTCTTAGAGAATCTTCACTTGAAGATTTTGTTCCTTAATCCAAACTGGTGTAAGTACCTGTAGTGTGCACAAATTTGTCCGATAATTAGATTACCTTAAATGATGCAAAAATAGCTTAAAAGCACTTTATGTTTGTTCTGTTTCTAAGTTGATTCAACTTAGGGAATACATGCTTTTGATATGATTCAGATTTTTATTTCACATACTATTGATACAGGAATACATATTCCCTTGATTGTCCAGTTCTTTGTTTCTCAATCATGAGGAGCAAATGTCCCCTTTTATCGAAACATGTGTGCCACTCAATTTCGAGGTTGTTTGTGATTTCTTGCTAGTTTTGATTTTGTTCCTGTAATGGACAAAGAGTTGAGCGAGAGTATCTGTGTTTTCTAATTCTTTTAAAGTTAACGCAAAACAAATTTGGCTTGTTCACATGCAACAAATAGTTCCCTATTTTTTCAGAGGCTTTTTTATTTGCTTAGTTGATTCTGTTTTTAGGCTTACTTCCAAGACCATTTTTTCTTTCTACAACTAGAAAGCATTACTTGATTTCATGAAGATCGATCTTAGAAAACTTAATGTGTGGTGAGCGTTATTTATGGTGATTTGGATAAGTGGACCACTACTAGTTTTTGCTGCTTTACTGTTACTCATTTCTGGCCCGTATCAGCTTAAATATTTGTTGTTTTTTTTTTTTTTTTTCCGCTGCCCGTGGACGTAGGCGACTTGCCGAACCACGTTAAAACTTGTGTGTTATTGCTTGTTTGAGTTCCCTGGTGTGCCCCCGATCCTCAACATGTGTTTGGTAATTGTATATTTTTTATATCAATCTCAATTGAACACGTACTGATTTGATTGTTGTTTTTGTTTGATAAATGATTTGTTAAGCCTCAAGGAGATTACTTAGAGCTTCATAGGAAGAGACATGGCTATCACCATGATCACTTCGAGCACAAAGGCAAGAAAGAGGCTCGTGAGGTTCACAAGCGATCTCAGATTGCTCAAAAGGTTCAGTATGAGAACCCTCTTTTTGTTGTTCTGTTTAATTATTTATTGTTTTGTTTTGTCTTTGTTTTTGTAGTCAAGCTATTAAAAAAATCTGATCTCAGCTTTCTTGGTCCGTATGCTGCTGCACAGGGGGTGCAACAAGAGCAAATTATTTTCACAGATGTTGCCATGAAAAAAGAACATATTAGACAGAGTTCTTTGGCAGATCTATTCCTTGACATGTATTTTAACAATACCTGTTTGCCAAATTGTAGATTGTTTAACTTGTGGTTGCGCTCAAGTAGTTTATTTCTTTAGTGTTGGGGATATAACAAGCACCATTTGTTTATACTGAATCATGGTGACCTCTCTCTCTCTCTCTCTCTCTCAATTTGTTTTTCGAGCTGTAACATGAATATATGTGTATACACAGTACATACATGCGATTGATTTATAGTCATGTTCATCGATTTGTTAGGGTTTTATTTAGTCCCTCTGATATGCTTCGATCCGAACAGAGAAATTCGTTTTACTTTGTTTTTTTGTAGCCTGCAAAGCCAGGACTCCAATCTCAAAGTTCATTTTAAGGTATTATGATCTCAATTCTGTTGCCTTTGCATTTTAAATTTTTCTGTGTATGTATTGATATATTTAATCATGAATGAATTATCATATATGGAGTCTTCAAATTTGTTCTGTTAGTTTTGTATTATGAATCTGAAAAATATATGCAAATGAAGTTATAAAACTTGTCAAAGTTCTCAAGTAATATGTTATTTGCTTTTGATATAGAGAACTATAAAAGTGAAGTTACGGAGTGCTTTTTGTAAAATTTGTTCTATTTTTGTATAAGCACACTAATTTGCGTTTCCTACTTTCAAATTCATACATTACCGTGAAAGTAAGTGTCCCACTATCTCAAAAATGTGTTCTTTAAGTGATCTCACTATTTTATTTTTAATTTTTTAATTTATATGATGAGGTTGGATAGCTTCCTCTTGGATAGTTTCCTTTTCGATTTTACAAACCAAAGTTCAGCTATATCTTCTGTGATATGGATGGTGAGACCACTCTGAAATGCCTATGTTATTAATGTTCTTTGGATCTTTTTCTTTTTCCTATATTGATTTCTGATTCAAATACAAGGCACACTGCTGAACAGTCAAAGCTAAATTTCTTCAACTATTGCAAAAGCTTTGAGAGAGGCCTTGTCAAGGGGTGTCAAAATGGTGATAGCCGCTGGTAAATTAAGGACATATGCGATTTACCCTATTTTTTTCACATTGTTATGTTTTTCATTCTGTTAGATATTGTTTCTTGGTTGATACATATTCTTTTTATCAATTGGCTAATTTAGTTTTTGGGAATAGACTAGTCCAACTGTCATAAGTGCTTTAAAGATGGTAAACTTAGCAGGAAAAGATGGCATTATTTCAGAGTTTTCCCCAGGAGTCTTCGTATAGGTCTTTCTCTTCCTCTTTATTCTATTCATATTTTGCTTGTTTGATGTAGGATAAATAATGTATGTACTAAAGGTTCCATAGGTTGCTTTATGAAGCCTTTATGCATTGAAGGTTCTATAAGTTTTTCAGATGAGAACAACAAAACATTGTAGAATCACAAAGAAATTAAGAGGGAAGGGGAGGTTAAGAATGAGAGAGACACACCTTGGAGTCATACATGCTGAATAAAAGCTATTGGACTACAATTGAAGATGCATTTCTCAATAGGATACGCTTACAACACTACTCAGGCCTAAAGCCTCAACAAAATCCTTGATGCAAACTCATTTGAAAAACGTATTCAGGCCATAGATGACAGAGAAATCTTTTTTAATATTTAGATCAGTTAACTTGCTAAAATGGTTTGAGCAAGTGCTGTTGGTAACCTCTACTGTAAATCCTTTTAATTTTTCTTTTAATTTTTGTTAAATTTATTTTTTCTATACTCATTATGTTTTGTAAAATAGAGTACCTATGGTGTGTAATGACAAATTTAATTTTTGTGAATTTGTAGTTATGAAAGTCAGTGATTACAAAACGTTTCTTAACTTTGACTTTTAGAGACGAAAATGTGGTAGAGAAAGTCATTTGTTTCTAGCGACCAAATATAATTATGGTTAAAATGCCATTATTATGTTTCTACGACCAATTTGGGACATTTGGTGACGAAGTATTAGCGACCAAATTGTTTAATTCTGCAAAATTCAACATCTTGTGAGCATATGAATTTCGCTGCTAATTGCCATTTTTAGCGACACTTTTGAACAGTTGTCGCTAAAAGTTAGTTTTGACTTCCATGGACGCACTTTTACCAATGTTTGTGGTGACAAATTTATTTTTGTCACTAAAATATTTAGAGACCAAAATAATAATTTTAAGGAGCAAATAATTAGTCGCGAAAAATTTTATATGTTGTACTGATTACATCCGAAGTATAAACTTACATAAGCATAATTTTTCCTTTAAGTGAAACTTTTTATTTATAAGAAATAAAATTAAATAAATTTCACATTTATGTACATGCTAATTTATTTATGTGTACATAGTACACATAAATTAATGAATATATAATATAACCAAGCTGGTCCAGCCACTAATAACATTCTCGAGTGTTAAGTAATAAACCGACTTAAAAAATCATTCTAGTCTAGTTTCTAAATTTGTACATAAAATGTATAAAAACTTTCACACGACGATAAGATCTATACATAAAATTTACTTTTATGTGAAAGTTTTTATTTATTCTGTTTGCAAATAATATTTTCCGACAGACCATCTATCAGGTGCGACCCACACCCAATTAAAAAGATAGTCAAAATAATGAATTCAAAGTTGACTAATCCTGCGGTGTAAACAGGACAAGAACCCGCAGGTGATCAATTCATGAATTGAAAATGATTAGACTATGGCTTGCTAGGTTTTGTTGGTCACCACACCGTGGAAAGACTAACTGTGGAATGTTCTTTTTCATTATTTTTACTTGAGACATAAGGCTTTGTTTGGCTGTTTCTGGATTACAGCATCAATGGCTTATGAAAACTTCTGTTGAGTATTGGCCCGTTTGGTAGACCTGTGGAAAAGTGATTATAACTTATAACTTAACGGTTTATAGCTTATAACTGTGAACATAAGCTGATTTTTTACTTATAAATTAAGCTTCTCTTCCCCATTTAAAGAATAAGTTGATTTTTGACTTACAAAAAGGTATAAGCTGTATTATTAAGCTAAAACAAACACATCAAAATAACTTAAATTAAGCTAAAAGTTAAAATAAACTAGAAATAAACCCTACCAAACAGGGCCATTGTCATCAATGACTGCAAAGCCATAATTTGACTATCAGATTAACTTAGTTGGGAAGTTATATGAGAACAGTAAGATGGCGTGATTTACCTACTTATATTTGTAGCATGACAAACGTGGGAATTAAAGATTGACGAAAGATGATATTGAAATTTTATTTCAAAGGAAAAAAATAAAAAATAAAAAAAAAAGACGGAAGAAAAGTGCAATTTTGCAACCATAATTCTTTGTCGGGTGTATTGAGGATGAGCTCTTTTCTATACTTTCATCTCTCCATATCTTTGCATATTCTTTTTATAGGTCTCAATTCGGATCCTCACAAATGATCCTAGCTGTTTATCTCGTAAATTTTGTAATAAAAGTCATATATGTAAAAAATGAGTTTTATCGAAAAATTATAAATAAAAAAACAAAAAATATTTTATTTTATAAAATGGATAGATTAAGTTTTATAATCAAAAAACAAAATGCTGATTTTTCCTAAATTTATAATTTTTCAATGGAGCTCATTTTTTACCTTTGTTACGAAACTTAAAAAATAGACAATTTGGATCATCGCTATGGGTCCAAATTGGGGCCTACAAGAAGTTTATGGAGAGATATTGAGAGATAAAGGTATGAAGGGATTCTCATCCCATGTCTTGGTATTAGATCTTTTCTCTCTATCCTTTTGGGTGGTATAAATAAATTTGAAAGACCCATCTTAAAAAAGGTAAGGGAGGTTTGGGCCTTTGGCCTAAAAAACTTATGAACCAAGCACTTTTAGGTCATAAAAGGCAATGTAATTAGGGTAGCAAAAGAACTAGATTGTTCGTGAACTTGATTCGGTTTGGTTCATTAAGTAAATAAATAAATTTGAGCATGACTCGTTTAATAAACGAGTCGAGTTCAAGTCCAAATAAACTCGACTCATTAAGCTCAATTCGTTTATCTAATATATTTATTCAAATACTGTAAATGATACTAAAAAAAATAGTTATCAAGCATTAATACTAATTATAACAGTATTAAATTTGAGATATAAAATAAATTATTTTTGTTTGTGTATTAATGTGATAATATTTATTGGTTGAATTAAATTTATGAAATTTATTATATAAAAGTTCTGATGACTTTATTAAGACGTCTAACTGTGCCTCACAAATTTTATTAGATACCCCACTTTTAATATTAAAAAATAGAAAAAATCAATATCATTTCACTTAGAACAAATTGTTAAAAGGACAAAAATTTAACACCCATTGTAGCGCGAGTCAAGATTCCCTCTTTAACTTTTTTCCTTGACTTTTTACTTGTGGGGTTATTGGGTCTACTTTTAGGCCTAATTTTTATAATTCGAACCGTTCATATTTTAAGATTTATTGATTATATCATACCTGTAAAAAATCAAATTGATCAGATATCAAATGTATGTGTTCGGATCATTGAATTAAAAATCATTTTTTAAAAAATTTAATAAACAATTTTTCGAACACATACTTTTTGATATCCGATCAACTTGATTTTTTACAAGTATAATATACTTAGCAAATCTTAAAATGTGACGGTTCGAATCATCGAAATTAGGCCGAAAAGTGGGCCCAATTACCCAGTAAGTAGGAAGTCAAGGAAGGTAGGCAAGGAGAGGATCCTGATTCTTGTAGCGCACCCTACTCTGACTAGCCTTATCTAGCCATCTATCTCGGTCAGTGTCACCTCTATCCCCAATGATGAATCTAGGGAGTAAGAGGCGGCCGCACTCCTAAAAATTTTAAAAATATCATATATTATATTAAAAATTTTAAAATAATTTAAAATTATAAGAGTTCGCACCTCTAATTTTTTTGTAAATAATTTTAAAATTATATAGAGTAGTTCTTGTTAAAAGTTTAATTTGATTAAGTTATAAAGCAATCTCCCAAAAACATAATCTTGGATCCATCCCTGTTTATCCCAATCTCCTTCCCTCTCCTCCACTTGTTCATAAAAATGCCAATCCTATTGTGTAGACATATTAACAGTTCTATAATTCTTACTTTTGTCAACTAATGTCATATTAGGAAAGAGAAGTTTTTAGTTAAAATTTTATTATAAGTTATTAGTTTATTCTTTTTATTTTTTATATGTTTTTTTATGAAAAAATAAAAAAATTATTTAAAAATAATAATTTCTAAACCAACCCTAAATATAATTTATGTAAAATTCTTCAAATTGTTAGTCCAATCTCATCATTTATCAAATTAAACAAATATGGCCCTAAGAGGAGGTTGAGTGTCATTTTGGAAACATAGCAAAAAGTCACGTTTTTGGACAAAATCCAAAAACGTAAGTGCCAAAAACGTCAGAAAATTGGTTTGGCAAGTGCTAAAAACGTAGGTGCAAAATTACAAATTAGGACCTATAAAAAAAATAAAAAAATAAATTTCTTATGCTGGGTAATGGTAATTTGATTATTTTAATTTGATTTGACATCATAAATTAATATTAAACTAAAAAGCAAAAAGTCAACTTTTTACTAACTTCTCAAATCACTTTTTAAAAAATTAAAAAATTTAATAAAAAATTAAAAATTAACTTTTTACTAATTTCTCAAAACACCCCCTAAGAGGGCTAAGCTTCCATTAACAAACAGTGTCCCCATTAGGGTTGTCAAGAGTGGGTGGTTAGGCACGTGATTCTGACGAGTCTTTTTGTGATCCTTCTTAAAGCCTATAGTATATAAAAGGGAAACCTAATAACGGCCAACACACTAATAATGTACATGCTAAAAGGGAAACCTAGGAATGGTCTATAAATACAGTCTATATTTATATATAGTATACGATGTGTAGATTTGATTGGTGTGCTAAAAAAATAATTTTTATAGAATATAGAAAGAGTAAAAGTAAAAATAAAAATATATAAAAATTTGAAATTTAAAATCAAAATCCGAATGGCTAATAATTATTGGATTATGAATGAATTTTTAGCAAATGATAAAAGGTATTCTTGGTAATTTTTTAGTCAAGAGATGAACTTTTGAACTTTTATTTTATATAATGATATAGACTGTAAGATGTGGGATGGGTGTTGTGCTGTCAAACGTGTGAGGTTGGTTCTAAATTTATTTTGATGATTTGTATTATTTATATTTTAAGGTTTGTTGATGATATCATTCATAAAAAAATAAAAAATAAAAAATAAAAATGAGATTAATCAAAGATGGGTAGCCCCGTAATCAAGTCTTAATTTTTTTTTTAAATATTGCAAAAGTTATACTAATCATTTATTTTTTAAAATAGGCCTTGTTTGGGAACAGACTAATTTAATAACTTTTTGGCTATTTGACTAAAATATGAACTAAAAAAATTAATATATTTGAGATGACTTTTTAACTTTTTACGAAAAGACGTGCAAAAAGTAGAGAGAAAAAAGAATCTTTAACTTTTTGATATGAATTATTGATTTTTTTATTTTTTTAGTGACTTTTTTACTTTTTGGATAAAAAAGTCACTTACCAAACGAGACCTAAATGTGGCCTTGCTATGGGATTATAAATATTTAATTAATCTTTTTTTTTAATAAATGACCTATTCGATAAATCTTACAATATTAACATTTTAAATGTGGCCTTGCTATGAGACATATTACTCGAATTTCACAACACTTTGAGATTATCTAAATAAGTGTATTTTTTGACTTTTTATGAAATATGGATTGAGTTTGAAGTGATGTGTTAGAGAGGTGATATGATTTAAATAAGATGATGCGACTTAAATAGGATAGTGACTTTTTGACTTTTTAACTTTTTTTCAAGCATGCCAAACTAGCCCTAACCCCACTTTGTAGTATAGATATTATGAAAAATTATAAATAATTTTGAGATAAATTCACATGATATTTCAACTTAGCATTTATTGATTAAAATTCTGAAACTCATATCTTTTGTTATAATTTTGAAAAATATTTAAAAAAAATATTATATAATTCAATTTATAATGATATCCAGCACATGGATGGACAGTGGGATCCATTAATTTCAAAGTAGACTTACATATGATGCGTAGTAAGCAGGCATGCGGAGGATTGGGATTGGGATTGGGATTGGGATTGGGGTTTGGTTGGGTCCTTTGGAATGGGACCACCACATGACCCGATTTAAGTTGTTAACAACTAACAAGAAGTTTTGTGGTCGTGGTTATGTCCGTACGATTGTGACATGTGAATGTAATCATACTTTCCTTTTATGGATAACAATTACAAAGTATAGAAATATCCTAATCATTTTGGGGTGTTTTGGAAATATAATTAAAGATTAATTTTTTAATTTTTTTAATTTTAATATATATATATATATATATATAAAAAAGGTGATTGATGATATGATTTAAAATAACTGTTAACTCACTTTTCAAAAGAGACCTTGGTGTTGATCTTGAATTATGATTATAATTGTAATTCTATTTTTTATATATATTTTTTTAAGAAAAATGATATATAAGTTTAATTTTTAAAATTATCTTTTAAACTCAATAATATATAATGAAATGATTGATTGATAATTAAAAAAAATATAATAAAGAAAATTACCTTATATATTTTAAAGTAATGTCACATCATTGAGTTACAAAAGTGGATATATTTTTTGGACCTAAGCCGCATTATCTTTTTTCGAATTGGATTTGGGATAAAAAAAAATTAATTTGGTCTACGTTATAAATTATTATTATTAATTTTAATTTTTATATTATTGTTTTCATTATAAATTATAAAAAAAAATGATGGAATATATATGTATAGATACTTTTGTTTTGAGTTTGAATTCAAACATTTGCTAAAAGGAAGTTATTAATAAACTAAATTCAAATAATTTTTAAAAGATTATAATAGTCTCCAAGATCAATTTTCTTTTTAATAGTGCATATATATTGAGTTAAGTGTTTGATAAAATTAAAAATTGAATATTGAATTTTTTAATTAAAAAAATTATTTAGTATTTACTGAAAATTAAGTGTCAAGTATAATTAAGCTGATTGATATGCAAAAGAAGTTGCATATGAAAGGGTTGTAACTTGTGTAGCTAGTCCTCTGATTACCAAATTTCTCTTAAGGAGATGTCTCAAATTCCACTCTTAAAAATGTATAATAGAAGGAAAGACTTAAGTGCTTGCACGGAGAGTGCATGAGTTTAACTATCCCTATATACTAATCTAATAACTAACTACTAACTTTTGCCAATCAAAAAAAATACAAAAGAAGGACAGTGATTTTGTGCTAGTGAGATAATAATGATGATGGTGGTGATATTGGCAATGATAATAATAGAGGTGGCAATAGTGGTTGTGGTGCGAATGACATTGATGGTAAAGCTAGAGGAATAATGGTTATGATGATGATGGAAGGTGGTGTAGTGGAGGTAGATGAGAGGTGATGGTAGTGGTAATGGAGGTTGCAATGGTGTAATGATGGTAATGGCTATGGCAACGGTGGCGATGGTCGTAGAAATAAAGGGTTGTAGTAGTGACTGTAAGGTGTTGGTAGTAGCAATTACAACCATGATTGTTGTCATGACCCAAACCTGCCCCTAGAAGTTTGGACATGACCGGCCTCACCCGAAGCCTAGATTTAGTTATTTAAAATGTCACTCAATCCCGGGGCCTAAACGGAAGCAAAATAATGAAAGAACAAACATTCATTGAGTTGTGTCTAAATGTTAGGATCATGTAACATTACTATACATACATAACATTCCATGTGTCATACACAAAAGATCCATTTGAAAGTTAAGTATTAACAATATCTACATACATATCCTTTGCTCCCAAAATTAATGACACATGCTATCATATGGATTTCCAACACATAACAAAAGAGTCATTTTAGGTGACTCAGCAAAATGGGTTCAATTATAGGCTTTTGGCTGACCTAGGGTTGACCCGCAAGCTGGTTACCTACAAAACATTCAGGAAAGCAGAGTGAGCAAGGCTCAGTGAATGATAGCAGTACAAATAAATTAAAAGTATGAACATGAGTCAATATCGCATATTTACAATTCATAATATCACTAATTTTCCTCATTTCTGAACGGCCTCGGGCCCATATTAAACAGAACGGCCTTAGGCCCATCAGAATACAGAACGGCCTCAGGCCCAGCAGAATGCAAAACAGCCTTAGGCCCATCAGAATACAGAACGACCTCAGGCCCAACAGAATGCAAAACAGCCTTAGGCCCATCAGAATACAGAACGGCCTAAGGCCCAACAGAATGCAAAACGGCCTTAGGCCCATCAGAATACAAAACGGAATGATCTTGGGTCCATAATACACATGCCAAAGTTTAACATATATCAACATATTTCATGTAACATAAGGCATTCACTAAAGAGTGAATAGGATCTTAAACAATATGTGAATAATGTAATACATAAACAGAACATCATACTATGCTACTATCACTCACTGTGATGCGGGTGAACGCTGGTTCCCTCCTGCTGATGCCCTACACACAGCACATAAGTCATAAGCACATCATTATTCTTAGTTTCCTTTCAATTCTCATTTATTCGATTCGTTACATTACATGTAATTAACTACATTATAGGAACATCGAATGGACATAACAACACATTCAAAGGGTCGAGAAGAGTGAAAAAAAGTTCCAGAATTTTTCAGCCTGGGCTGCACATACGGAAGTCCCCGCCGTACATGAGGGAAGGTGCGCCGCACGTGCCTTTTTAGCAGAATGCTTCTAACCTTCTCCCCTATTTTCCGCACGTGCGGCTGTAAGCCCTGCTGATGCCCTACACACAGCACATAAGTCATAAGCACATCATTATTCTTAGTTTCCTTTCAATTCTCATTTATTCGATTCGTTACATTACATGTAATTAACTACATTATAGGAACATCGAATGGACATAACAACACATTCAAAGGGTCGAGAAGAGTGAAAAAAAGTTCCAGAATTTTTCAGCCTGGGCTGCACATACGGAAGTCCCCGCCGTACATGAGGGAAGGTGCGCCGCACGTGCCTTTTTAGCAGAATGCTTCTAACCTTCTCCCCTATTTTCCGCACGTGCGGCTGTAAGCCCTGCACGGGCGGCTGTGCCTTTCGCACGTGCGGCCATGGGCCCCGCACGTGCGGTCGTTTACCCTGTTTTTTTGTCCGAAGCCTCAATCATTCCAAGTGCTCAAGGGGTAGTCATATAGCCAAATTCAAGGTAGATGCACACCAAAAACATAGCATATAAACATATACACATGAAATTCTAGTCCGTTGCCTTGTATGTCTCAAAATTTCCATGATTCCCTTATTTACATAATGTAGATATGCATGTACAATGCCTAGCTATTCATTTATATGAATTCAAAAGAGTGAGATTAGGCAAGACACAAAGAAATCAAGTGATTAAGTTTCCTATCCCACACATTCTATGAGGTTTCATCATAACCCTAGCTTTCATGGAGGTAAGATGCTCCAAGTCAAAGCTTAATTCAACCAATTAAAGAGGAGTTTAGGGTTTACTAATGATCTATACTCACCTTAAGTTGGATTCTTCAATTGGTCCTAGCAAATTCTTTAATCTCCAACTCTTGTTGACTTTCCTCTTCTCCCTATCTTCCTCTTTTCCTCAAGGCCTCTAGATTTTCCACTCAACATATATGTAAAGATATGAGTTCAAGGAAAGACTTATATAACACATATAGGTCTTTGGTTTCTAACCTTGCCAAACGAGCCTTAGCGAATCAGAAAAAATAAATTTTCAATTAAACCTCCTAGGTAGCTTTAAAAATTCCCACTAGCAGATTTACATGCTCAATATCAGTTTACTAGGCCTTTACGGCCTTGAATTTCCAAGTCAACATTTTAATTTTTAACAGATGTGTTCCAATAATCAACAGATAGAAACCATAATCAAATAATTCATTCGTATAAGCATAACTCTACATGAGATTTCACATTAAACATGTAATTTCTCATGGAACTGGGGATATAAGGCATACAAGAGGGTCGGGTTATTACCCTCTCCCCCCCTTAAATAAGTTTGGTCCCCAAACTTGTTTTACCTTAAGTCGAAAATAACTCTGGGTACCGTTGCTTCATTTCCTCCTCTCGTTCCCAAGTAGCTTCTTTTCCGTAATGCTCCTGCCATTCTACCTTTGTCGTAGGAATCACTTTACTTCGCAATTGTTTCATTTGTCGATCCAGAATCTGAATTGGTTTCTCCTCATAAATCAATTTGTCATCCAAGGCAATTTGTTGATAATCTATAACATGGGATGGATCTTGCAAATACCTTCGTAACATTGAGACATGGAATATGTCATGCACTTGCTCTATATTCGGTAGAAGAGCAACACGAAAGACCACTGGACCTATCCTTTCCAGGATTTGAAACGGACCTACGTATCGGGGTGTTAACTTACCCCTTTTACCAAATCTTGGGTGTCCCTTCATTGGTGTAACTTTTACAAAGACGTAATTACCTACTTCAAACTCCAAGTCTCTTCGCCGGTGATCTGCATAGCTCTTTTGTCTACTCTATGCAGTTTTTAACCTGTCTTGAATAGTTTTAATTTTCTCTGTTGTTAGTTGCACAATCTCTGGCCCAATCAACGATTTGTCACCGACCTCAGTCCAATACACGGGAGAGCGACATTTTCTTCTTTATAGAGCTTCATAGGGTGCCATTTCTATACTCGAGTGGTAACTGTTGTTGTATGCAAACTCTGCCAATGGTAGGTGAGTTTCCCAACTTCCTTTGAAGTCCAAAGCACATATCCAAAGCATATCTTCCAATGTTTGAATGGTTCTCTCAGATTGTCCATCGGTTTGATATGGAAGACTGTACTGAATTTTAATTCGGTTCCCAAGGCCTCCTGCAGACTTCGCCAAAATCTTGATACGAACTTCGGATCTCTATCAGACACGATTGAAACCGGAATACCATGTAGTCGTACAATTTTATCCACATATAAGGTGGCCAGCTTATCTGCATTGTATTGACTCTTTACAGGGAGAAAATGAGCTAACTTCGTTAGTCTATCCATAATGACCCATATAGAGCTCATGCTCCGAGGAGTTCGCGGTAAACCCACAATAAAATCCATAGTTAAATGTTCCCATTTCTGGAATTGGAAGGGGTTGAAGTAGACCTGCCGGTCTTTGGTGCTCCACTTTCACTTGCTGACATTGCAAACACTTTGAGACATATTCTACAATTTCCCTCTTCATACCTGGCCACCAAAAATTCTGTTTCAAGTCGTGGTACATTTTTGTACTACCAGGATGCATCGCAAATTTGGAGCTATGCGCTTCCTCCATGATTCTCTTCTTGATGTCTGGCATATTACGAACACACCACCTACCCTGGAATCTTAATACCGAATTTTAAGTTATGAACCCGGGCCTTGGTTTCATTTCCAGTTCATCACACATTTTTTGTAGAAATTCATCTTCCAATTGTCGTTGTTTAGTTTCTTCCATGATTGCTGGTTGGGTTACTATCGCTGCTACTGTTGCATTTTGATCATGTAACACAATTCCCACATTCATTCTTTCCAAGTCACGTAGTAACTCTTTCTGCCTCGTGAGCAGATTTGCCAAATTTCCCATACTCTTTCGGCTAAGGGCATCTGCAACTGTATTAGTTTTATCGGGGTGATACTGAATTTGTAGGTCATAATCTTTAATAAGTTCTAACCACCGTCTCTGACGCATGTCTAATTCCTTTTGAGTGAAGAAGTACTTAAGACTCTTATGATCAGTATAAACTTCACATCTAACCCCATACAGATAGTGACGCCATATTTTCAAAGCAAAGACCACTGCAGCTAGCTCAAGGTCGTGTGTGGGGTAGTTCTTTTAATGGGGTTTAAGTTGACGGGAGGCATATGCAATAACTCTCTCATTTTGCATATGTACATAGCCCAAACCCTTTATGAGAAGCGTCACTATAAATCTCAAATCCTTCATTACCGGATGGTAAGGCCAAAATAGGTGCTGTAGGTAATCTTGTCTTCAGTTCCTGAAAAGCAGATTCTCGTTGCTCCGACCACTCAAACAAAACACCTTTTCTGAGTTAACTGAGTAAGCGGTACCGCAATTTTGGAAAAGTCTTTAACAAACCGTCAGTAATATCTAGCCCAACCCAAGAAACTACGCACTTCTAACACATTAGTAGGCGTCGGCCAATCAACAATAGCTTCAACCTTGTGCGGATCAACGGCAACTCTCTCCTTTGTCACGACATGTCCCAAAAATCCTACCTCTTCTAACCAAAATTCGCATTTCTTTAGTTTTGCATACAATTTCTTATCTCGCAAAGTTTGAAGAACTAACCGTAGATGATTCTCATGAGCTTCCACACTTGTTGAGTAAATAAGGATGTCATCGATAAACACAACTACAAAATCGTCCAAGTAAGGCTTAAAAACTCGATTCATCAGATCCATGAAGGCCGCTGGTGCATTAGTGACCCCAAACGGCATGACTAAAAACTCATAATGTCCGTAACGATTCCGGAAAGTAGTTTTCTCGACATCCTCAGCTTTAACCTTCAGTTGGTGATACCCAGACCACAAATCTATTTTAGAGAAGACTTGTGCACCCTGTAATTGATCAAACAAATCGTTGATCCTGGGCAAAGGATATTTATTCTTTATAGTTACCTTATTGAGCTCCCTATAATCCACACACAACCGAAGGGTCCCATATTTCTTTTTCACAAAAAAGACTAGTGCGCCCTAAGGGGAAGTGCTTGGACGAATGAATCCTTTATCAAGGAGGTCTTGCAACTGAATCTTCAACTCTTTCATTTCGGCGAGTGACATTCTATAAGGGGTTTTGGAAATAGGCTGAGTTCCTGACACTATGTCAATTATAAACTCAATTTCACGATCAATTAACTCTTCCGGCAGCTCTTCTGGAAAAACATCTGGAAAATCCTGCACAATTGGAATTGCATCAAGGCTTCCATTCCCTACTTGTTCATTTAAAATACTACACAAATACCCTTGATAGCCTTTTAGCAGTAACTTACACACCTTTCTTGCAGAAATCATATAGGGTGGGGAAACTACCCTCTGGCCCCTAAAAGTGAACTCAGTTTGTCCTGGGAGTTGGAACATAACTTGTTTCGAAACGCAATCTATGGTTGTATGATACTTGCTGAACCAATCCATCCCCAAAATTATGTCGAAGTAAGCCATATCAAGAGGCAACAAGTTGGCATCCACCCAAACATCCCCGATTAGAATTTCACATGCAAAATAAATAGATGCACATACCATGGACTCTCTCAATGGTGAGGACACACACAAAACATAAGGTAATGGTTCCATTGGCCTATTTAAATGACTAGCAAATGCTTTTGATACAAAGGAATGGGTAGAGCCTGAGTCAAATAACACATTTACGGAGTGACCATTAATAGAAAATGTACCTGATACCACAACCTCGGTATTTTGTACATCGCCCGGGATCAGCGCAAACACTCTTCCTTGTTTAGCGGTATCTTTAGCTTTGGCGGGTTTTATAGTTGTCTTTGTAGTTGGAGTAAGGGTTGCCCCAGTTGAACTTGCAATGGTTCTCTCCCCATTCTGTCGATTCTTCTGCGGACATTCCCTGGCCAAATGACTTGTCTTCGCACATTTGAAGCATGCCCCTGTTACTCGGTAACAAATCCCACGATGTCTCTTTCCACAATCCGGACAACTTGGGGCCAAGTCACGGGTAGAGGCGGATGTACTAGAAGTTCCTGAATTTAACTTCTTACTTGGCGGCGTCACTGAACCCTTAAAGGTTGAGTATTCTGTTTTTCCCCCTTCATTTCGAAGCCCGACTTTAAGCGACAACATTACCTTCGGCAATCACTACCCTTTCCAACACATCGACATACGTAGGTAGTTTTAACACATTAATCTGGTTGAGGATAGCAGTCCGTAATCCACCTTCAAACTTTCTTGCCTTCTTATAATCCGTATCCACCATATGTGGTGCGAAACTGGCCAATTCAGCAAATTGAGCCTCATACTCTGCAACAGCCCTGTTTCCCTGCCTTAAGGTCTCGAACTCAGTCACTTTCTTGTCTCGTATACTATGGGGGAAATACTTGTCATAGAATAGCTCCAAAAATCTATCCCATGTTAATCCTTGGTGCACAGTTCTCGTAAGCATCCACCACCTTCGTGCTTCATCCTCAAGAGTGAAGGTAGCAAGTTGCACTTTTTGGGCTTCAGTACAAGAAAAAACTTTGAATAACTTTTCTATACCCAACACCCATGCTTCTACTTTCATTGGTTCAATTCCTCCCTTGAATGAGGGCGGCTTCATCTTTTGAATTCATTCGTGAGTGTAATTGTTCGATCCTCAACTTGGTAATCTTGCGCCCCTGGCGGTGGTACAAGCATTGGGGTGGGGGTTGTTGCTGTTGTTGCCGTTGTTGCCTCAGAGTTTCTGTCAACTCCATAGTCATTCTTTCCATTCTATCCAATCGTACGGCGGTTGCATCTTCCGAATCATCTATTCTGGTTCTCACCATAATCTACATAACAATTAATTACAATACATACAACGGGCACAAATAGGCATGGATCATGATCATGACTAATGTGTATATATATATCCATGATTATTGTGTATACACTGAAAGTTACAAGTACGCAACGTAAGTCCTTTCTAGACATTCTGAAGCTCAATGAACTCGTGCGTGAGGTAGTAACTCGTGCTCTGATACCAACTATCACGACGCAAACCTGCCCCTAAAAGTTTGGACATGACCAGCCTCACCCGAAGCCTAGATTTAGTTATTTAAAATGTCACTCAATCCCGGGGCCTAAACGGAAGCAAAATAATGAAAGAACAAACATTCATTGAGCTGTGTCTAAATGACAAGATCATGTAACATTACTATACATACATAACATTCCAAGTGTCATACACAAAAGATCCATTTGAAAGTTAAGTATTAACAATATCTACATACATATCCTTTGTTCCCAAAATTAATGACACATGCTATCATTTGGATTTCCAACACATAACAAAAGAGTCATTTTAGGTGACTCAGCAAAATGGGTTCAGTTACAGGCTTCTGGCTAACCTAGGGATGATCCGCAAGCTGGTTACCTACAAAACATCCAGGAAAGCAAAGTGAGCAAGGCTCAGTGAATGATAGTAGTAAAAATAAATTAAAAGTACGAACATGAGTCAATATCACATATTTACAATTCATAATCTCACTCATTTTCCTCATTTCTGAACGGCCTCGGGCCCATATTGAATAGAACGACCTTAGGCCCATCAGAATACAGAACGGCCTCAGGCCCAACAGAATGCAAAACGGCCTTAGGCCCATCATAACACAAAACGGCCTTGAGACCATATTGAACAGAACGACCTTAGGCCCATCAGAATATAGAACGGTCTCGGGCCCAACAGAATACAAAACGGCCTTAGGCTCATCAGAATACAGAACGGAATGATCTTGGGTCCATAATACACATGCCAAAGTTTAACATATATCAACAGATTTCATGTAACATAAGGCATTCACTAAAGAGTGAATAGGATCTTAAACAATATGTGCATAACGTAATACATGAACAGAACATCATACTATGCTACTACCACTCACTGTGATGCGGGTGAACGCTGGTTCCCTCTTGCTGATGCCCTACACACAGCACATAAGTCATAAGCACATCATTATTCTTAGTTTCTTTTCAATTCTCATTTATTTGATTCGTTACATTACATGTAATTAAATACATTATAGGAACATCAAATGGACATAACAACACGTTCAGAGGGTCGAGAAGAGCGAAAGAAAGTTCTAAAAATTTTCAGCCTGGGCCACACGTGCGGAAGTCCCCGCCGCATGTTCTTTTTTAGCATAATGCTCCTAACCTTCTCCCATGTTTTCCGCACGTGTGGCTGTAAGCCCTGTACGTGTGGCCATGGGCCCCGCACGTGCGGTCATTTACCCAGTTTTTCTGTCCGAAACCTCAATCATTCCAAGTGCTCAAGAGGTAGTCATATAGCCAAATTCAAGGTAGATGCACACCAAAAACATAACATATAAACATATACACATGAAATTCTAGTCGCTTGCCCTGTACATCTCAAAATTTCCATGATTCCCTTATTTACATAATGTAGATATACATGTACAATGCCTAGCTATTCATTTATATGAATTCAAAAGAGTGAGATTAGGCAAGACATAGGGAAATCAAGTGATTAAGTTTCTATCCCACACATTCAAAAGGTACATGGTCTTTATGAGGTTTCATCATAACCCTAGCTTTCATGGAGGTAAGATACTCCAAGTCAAAGCTTAATTCAACAAATTAAAGAGGAATTTAGGGTTTACTAATGATCTACACTCACCTTAAGTTAGATTCTTCAATTGGTCCTCGCAAATTTTTTAATCTCCAACTCTTGTTGACTTTCCTCTTCTCCCTATCTTCCTCTCTTCCTCAAGGTCTCTAGATTTTCCACTCAACATATATGTAAAGAAATGAGTTCAAGGAAAGACTTATATAACACATATAGGTCTTTGGTTTCTAACCTTGCCAAATGAGCCTTAGCAAATCAGACAAAATAAATTTTCAATTAAACCTCCCAGGTAGCTTTAAAAATTCCCACTAGCAGATTTACATGCTCAATTTCAGTTTACTAGGCCTTTACGGCCTTAAATTTCCAAGTCAACATTTTAATTTTTAACAGATGTGTTCCAATAATCAATAGATAAAAACCATAATCAAATAATTCATTCGTATAAGCATAACTTTACCTGGGATTTCACATTAAACATGTAATTTCTTATGGAACTAGGGATATAAGGCATACAAGAAGGTCGGGTTATTACAATGGTGGTGCGGTGAGGATATTGAAATGATGATGTTACCTATGACAATGGTAAATGAGGTAATTGTACAGGTGGTGGTGGTAGATGTAGCGGGGGTAGAGGTAAGGGTGTAGTAGTGATAAGGTCATAACAATGCATATTGATAGTTATGAATAAATAATTATAAATTTCAGTCAACTTTTATCTAAAATGGAAATAGAAAAAGGAATTATTAGACTTAATGCTATGTAGGAAAAACTATTTACATGTTTAAATTTATTAGCTAAAATCTTTTAATTTGAAAGTTAATTTATACATCAAATAAAAAACATAGGCACAAATGATTCTTTACCCATATTCTTACCTCTATACCACATGGTTGCCACCTCATGCTCCCGTTCTACACCACCACTTTGTCTTCTTTATCTATAACTTACCTATAAAAGCAATAAAACTGAATCTAACAACCATGACTTCAACAAGCTTCAAATGTCGAATTCATTCTCTTTATAGATTGCTCAAAAAGTTATGAATGCGAATGCCCGAGCTGTGTGTGGTGCTTCTCCATCAAGCCATTGTCTTTGTGGTTGTTGTCTTCATCAAGTTATGCCACTTGTACGTCTTCAAATGAGGTTGTGGTTGTTTACTCAGGCATGTCGCTCAAGTCATTGGTATAGACCACCCATTTTGACCAGCCTTAAGACTTGGGCACTTTTTTTGATCACTCGATAATGAAAATAAGAATGTGTTTCCCACAAAATCCTTAGTAAAAAGATGGAATTTGAACTTTGTTCCCAACCCTAAGCCTGCTTTGGTCAAGTGTTTAAGTCCCGTTGGATAACCGGAGCAAAGCTGGACTGAACCGAAGCAAAACAACCAACTTTCTCCTTGGTCGACCGACCAAGGATAGTGCAGACTAGTTTTTTTGTTGGCTCGGGTGGGGTACTTCACAACCCCATTTTTTGAACCATTTTTGCACCAAATACATTTATACTCAACCTCCATTGCCTAGTGCTTGATCCATTGAGGGTAATGCTCCGTAATTGTCTTCTATTAACTCCATTTGTACTCCATTAGTTCAATTATCTTCCCTAAATGTTCTATTAATTCTTCACTTTGTCTTCCACCATTGCTTCACTTGCCTTGCCTATATAAGGAGAGCTCAAGTCTTGAATTTGTGGAGATGAACTTGAGAGAAGTGTAGAGAGAATGTTGAATTTGAATTAGAGTTTGAGAAAGAAAAGAAAGCTTTGATAATAAGAGAGTTGATTCTAAAGCTTTTATCAAAGGGAAAGTGATTCTTGCCAAGTTGAAGAAGATTAAAAGGTGATCACACACTTGTTCAAAACCATAATTCTAGCTCAAATTCCAAACTCTTGAATTAAGGTTAGAGAACATAATTCACAACCTTGAGAGTGATTGTAGACACCCCATTTTTGAACCCCCGCAAGGCTCAAGCGCTTTGCCCGGTACACTCGATGATGAAAGTGGTATTGTGCGTGGTTCGAGGTCTCATCGAATAGGCTATGTTTAAGCTTTGAAGCAATCACAAACCTTCCATATTCCCACTGTTTGTACCTTAGAAATCCATTTTTACACATTTTTCCACCCTATGCTAAGTCTGAAGCAGAGAGACAGGGGATCACATTGAGGCCTGGCCGTGCCTCATTGGGAGCCAACTGTGGCCATTTATGGCCGGCCGTGCCTTGGTAGCGAGAAACACTGTTTTGGGTGGAAGCCCGCCAGCTATCTATTTTTGAAGATATTTATGACCTCTTTTGCTCAAATTCTATAAAAACAAAGTTGTATCTCTATTTTGAGGGTTGAACAAATTCTAAAAAGCTTATACACCTTCTTGAGAGCTCCTTCTTCTTGTGCAAGCAACCTTTGAGAAAGCTTACCACTTGTAACCTATATCCATACACCATATACACCTTCACACCTTAGCCTTGGAACCTTGGTTGAGCCTTGAGTATCACAATTCAAACTTGAGAGCGTGTTTGGACCAAGTTTGATTCACAAACAAAGTGCTTACCTTTCTTGAGAGGTATAAGCTTACTATCTTTTCTCTTGCTCTCTTTGCTATCTCTTGCTATCTTCTTGTATTTTTGTATTGTTTTGATCCTTTTTTAAGTGTCTAAGCTTGGGTTTGGATAGTTACCAAAGGGTAAAGAGAGTTACCACTCTTTCTTGCACCTTCACCTATAGCTCCAACCATTGTTTTTACACCCTTTTCTTTGCTTTCTAAATTGATTTTCAGAGTTCAAAAGAGGCTAAAAATCATGCTTTGAGGTTTCAAAAGTTGAGGGGTTAGCCACCCCTCCTTGTTCTTGTTTACTTGCCTTATTTTCTTTCTTTGTTGTTTATCTTTTTGGGCTCTTTTCATGCACTTTGAGCCACTATTTTTCATCCATTAAGGGCTGTTTTCGGGCTGTCCTAGGTTGTTTAATTAATTCATGCTTTGATTAGTTTGCTTGTTGTC